CCACACCCTTCTGCTGTTGTGCTGTGGGCTATATAGAAGTTTTTCACTTGAGAAGGCTCAGCAAGCTACAGCCTTGGACCGCTTAGCTCAGTATTGTCAACACAGATTGGCGGCAGAAATCTGATAGGATCTTCCCTACTTTCACCGGGAGATGCTTCAGACTGATTCTAAGCCTTTAGAATGCAAAGCATGAGCTCAGTCCCAAAGTCACCACCTCTTCGCTGTGGGCTATATAGAAGTTTTTCACTTGAGAAGGCTCAGCAAGCTACAGCCTTGGACCGCTTAGCTCAGTATTGTCAACACAGATTGGCGGCAGAAATCTGATAGGATCTTCCCTACTTTCACCGGGAGATGCTTCAGACTGATTCTAAGCCTTTAGAATGCAAAGCATGAGCTCAGTCCCAAAGTCACCACCTCTTCTCAGTTACTCATCTAATGCCCACTGATTGTTTTGGACTTTGGTCTAAACTTTTAGAAATAGAACATAGATTAAGTAATAAATCTATGATTTAAAATCAATCAACGCATTATTGTTTTGAAGTGCTTCGCTGCATGTGATTGTACTATCTATTTATTTCGGATTCCACAGCAGCTGAATGATGGTAGAACCAGGAAGCCAAATTTGTTAAGACTGAGCTGTCAATTTATTGCTGTGCTTTGTAACAGAAGACATTTAAAAGAAAGCCAACAAGAATGGATCCTCTAGTCTAGTAAACAAGGCAACTTAGAGACCACTATGGATGCAATTAGCCATGAAATGGGACCCATAGTCACAGCAGCTTAGCCAAGTGTAGCCATAATACACCTTTCATCTGTCCTGCCACCCTCACTGCCATGCGTGGGGAGGACAAGAAAGGCCTTCTCAGTGGCTAATCGCAGGCTACGGAACTCACTTCTGCAGGAGGTTACTGCCATGCGTGGTGAGGACAAGAAAGGACGCCTTTTCAGTGGCTAATCACAGGCTACGGAACTCACTTCTGCAGGAGGTTAAGCATTTGTGCTGTTCTTCTGCTAGCATGTGAAGATGTTATAAGCTACCTTGGGTACCATAAGAGAGAATGGTGGGATAGAAATAATAAATAGTAAACAAGCCACAATATGTAATGGTTTTCTAGGGAGTATGTGTTGCACAATTTTCCATAACATCTAGGAAGCCTACACATACAGAGTGACAGGTCAGTATCTAATGGAGTCTTCTGCTGACAGGAGCCATCATCTTTCCCTCCTGAAGTTCAAATGCACCCTAAAAACCTATTTTAAAGGCCTAGAAATCCCTCAGAGCTGGTTTGTGACTCCCTGAAGGACAGCCAGGGGATGGGAAGAAAGACTAAATGTTACAATGAGTGCAGCGTGGGGTCTAGTGCAAGGTAGCTGGGGTTTTTAAAAAAAGAAAAATCAGTTGCTGATGTGGCAGTCAAGGTATAATTGTTGAGTCCTGTCTTAACTGAGTCCTGATTCCTATCATTAGTTATAAAAATGAAACATTAAACTTCTTTCTTCTTACCCTTGTGTTTTTTGGTACCAATCATCATCAATAAGATTGGATGTATGTATCACCACTCGAAGGCCTTCTTCATACTCTAATAGCATCATTTTCCTGCTCAAAACAAATATTTTATTATTATCACATGCAGGCAATACTAGGCACATTAGAAACTATAGAATCAAAGCTGAACTTGTAACTTTAACATATTCAGTATACAGTGGTGCCTCGACTTAATCCGTTCTAGAAGATGCTCGTAACTCGAAATGGTCGTAAGTCGAAGCACCACTTTCCATTTGAAATGTGATTAATCCATTCCAGCCAGAAAAAAAGACCAAACCAAACAAAACAAACACTGCAAGACCCATCGGAAATGCGATTAATCCATTCTGGCCGAAGGAAAATAACAAAAAGCAAACAAACCCTGCAAGACCCATCAGAAATGGGGAAAAGAACCCCCAAAGCAAACAAACCCTGCAAGTCCCATCAGAAATGAAAAAAGAAAACAAAAATGCAAACAAAACATTCAAGACCCATCGGAAATGCAAAAAACATAAACAAAAAACCCTAAAAAACCCCTTCACCACCAATGGTTTAAATCAAATCAATTTAAATCACAATTTAAATCACTAGCAGGGAGGATAAAAATAAATGTTTTTTTTAAATAATGGATTTTTATTTTCATTTTAATCATTGATTTTTATCTACCCTGCAAGTAATTTAAATTGATTTGATTTAAATCAAATCCACCCTGCTCAAAATGAAAAGAATCCTATCAAAGCCTCAAAACTCTTGGCAAGGATAAGAAAATTTTAATATCTGAAAATCCACCATAGCTGAAGACTTATGCCGTGTAAGTTGTGCTGCTGGAATTTGAGCCGGCATGTTTAATTTTTAAATTGAACAATAACTAGAGTGGTGTGTCACATCCAGAAAGGTGACTTAGATTAATAAATAATCTAGTCATCTTCTGCAAAAGGAAATAAATATGCAAAATAGAGCCAATGAATGTCATTTCTTGTTTGCATATATTTTGTATTTTCTGCAGCATCTGTTTTTAAAATTGTCATTAACTAAGTTACAGTAGATTGTAAAGTAGTTAATCAAAACAGGTGATGTTACACTGGCTTTTTTCCCTGAAGAGCCAAGTTGCCTTAGAAACTGGAACTTGAGAAGGAAAACGTCCTGGAGAAATAACACACATCTCCTGCTGCTGACTCATTTGAAGACCAAACAGAATATGGCTAACACCATAAACCAATTATTTTTTTAAATGAAAGCAATAGTTCATTTAGTAATTGAATGTATCATGTATGTTGCTATATAGTCAGTAACCTGAAATACTACTTTTGAGCAAAATGAGGATTTAAAAAAAAAGTTAATTATTCAAATAAAATGTCAAAGAACTGAACAGCAATAAAACAAGATGCCAAACATCTCCATATCCATAATGTATTAAATTCCACTCTAGACTCCATGATTCTACCACCTATCATCAAAGTGAGTTTAGATTCAAACTGTAGGTTCAGAAACTACTTTTGTAACACAAGGAGCTTCAAACATAGTTTGAGTCCTCCATGGGGAGAAAAGCAGCCTATAAGTAATGCAAGGTCAAGTCATGTAATAAATTTATAATAATCAACTAAAAAAAGGCAAAAATCCAATCCAGTTGACATTTTAGTCTGGGCCAAATATTTAGCACTTTCCATAAAATGAACAGGGGTTGTTGGGTTACTCAAATTAACAATATTCATGCTTTTAAACTGATCAACATGCACACACCTTAATGTGTTGACTGGTTACCCGGCCTATTCCATGGGTTTGTAAAAGGGCTGGGGAAAAGGGCTGGAACAATCTCACTCCTGAGATTCGTGCGGCCACCACTCTGGGCACTTTTAAAACTTAATTAAAAACATGTCTATATATTCAGGCCTTCCCTCCAGCGAATACCTGATTTTCTATTTATTCTCTTTCTATTTATTTTCTATTCTATCTTTGCATTGTATATGTCATAGTACAATTTATATATTTCTGCATTATTTTATTGTTTACACTATATCGGAAGCCACCTAGAGTGGTCTTACAGGCCAGATGGGTGAGGTATAAATCAAATCAAATAAATAAATAAATAAATATACTGTCTCATCCTCACCAGTATTTACCCAGCAAAGATATGCTACATTTTGAGGTCCCTGCCCACTGTTGATCAATCACGAAATTAGGAATGTAATACAGTGGTGCCTCGCTTAGCGACGTTAATCCGTGCAGGAAAAAACGTTGCTAAGTGATTTCATCGCTAAACGGAATTAAAAAGCCCATAGAAACGCATTAAAACGCCATTAATGCATTCCTATGGGCTTCAAAACTAACCTTAAAGCGAAGATCCTCCATAGGGGCGGTCATTTTCGGTGCCTCTTAAGCGAGGACACACAGTGGGCGGCCATTTTGTTTACCCGGCGGCAATTTTGAAACCACCGATCAGCTGGCCGAAAATGGGGGCTTTGCGATGATCGCTTCCCTGCGATCATCGCAAAGCAAAATTTCCCCTTGCTAAGCGAGGCACCACTGTATATGGTATCAACTTGTTAATGGAATTTAGACTACATTAACTAGGGACTTGCTGCCTTGATTGTCTAGGCTGTTTTAAGATATAGCAGCAGAACTGAAGTACAGTGGTGCCCCACTTGATGATTACCCCAGTAGACGGAATCACTTGACAACGTTTTTGTGATCGCTATAGCGATCGCAAAACGATGATTCACATGGGTTTTTTCGCTTTACGATGATCGGTTCCCTGCTTCGGGAACCAATTTTTCGCTTCACGACGATTTTAAAACAGCTGATCGGCTGCTCTCAAAATGGCTCCCCACTGTTTTGCTGACCTCATTTCGCAAGACAGGGAGCGGAAAATGGTTGCCCTATGGAGGATCTACGCTGCACAATCAGGTATTCCCCCCATTGGAACGCATTGACTGGTTTTCAATGCATTTCAATGTTTTTTTTTTTTGCTTGACAACTATTTCACTGTACAGTGATTTTGCTAGAACGCATTATCGTTGTCAAGCGGGGCACCACTGTACAGTTTTCAACTCTATTGTAATTAAATATTTGCCCTTTTTCTGTAGGCAGTTTATTTGCATTTTAAGCATAATAACAGAATTGAACCTCTTTTTATTGCAGTTGTAAGCTAGCTGGATAGTTCAGTGGTTCAGGTATCTGGCTGTGCAGCCAGAGGCTGGGAGTTTGATTCCCCACTGGGCCTCCTATGAGTAGACTCAGCCTGTGTGGCCTTGGGCAAGCTGCACAGTTCCAGGATGACCCCAGAAGAAGGGAATGGTAAACCACTTCTGAGTATTCTCAACATGGAAAACCCTGGAAAGGGCCCCCATAGGTTAGAATTGACTTGATGACACATCATCATCTTTTTTCCAGACCACTTGCCCAAGTTCTGTAGGGCTGTATATTTTATGGCCTGAGTATGTTCTGGTTTCTTTCAGCTGATGCCTCAACTGGCAGGTCAAGAGCTCTAAAGTGTTATTTTGTTAATAACACTGGAGACTTAACAAACTAAAGGGGATGCCAATCATCCCTTTTGTACACATATGGGATTCCCTGAATTCTAGTTTATAAACTATCAGCACCTGAACTTATCTTATGAGATGTGTAGTTTTATTATATGGAGAACAAACAGTGACAGCTTGTACTGTAAATGGCTGGGGGCATATCTTAGGCGGCACTGTGAGGTGCCTCCTCCACAGACCAGAGGCTACCTGCACGAGACAGCAATAAAATACACAGATGTATGGCAATGTCCGAGAAGGAATGTCCACAACTGACTTTTAGATGCCATAAATTACTCACGTGTGGTGGGTTCCAAAGGCAATATCTAGCTTCGCCTGTAACAGGAATAATGTTTTCAAAATGTTTTCAGGTACCGGACCTATACCATAGTAATATAAATAAAATCTGAAAAGCAAATCTTTCTTGCTTTAGCTCTACTGCTCCCTATTGGACTTAACACAAATTGCATTATATCCTTCTCACTTCATATCAGACCTATAATTTCAAACTTCTAGAAGTCACTCTACAGATTTTGCTAGATGTTAGATTTAAACCTCTTTGGTTATATCGACAAGACAGTGCAATGGTGGGCATGCTTCTATAGAGAAGCATTTAAAAATTGAAAAAATAGAAATGCATTTAACTTTACAAATGCCTCTTAAAAGGAGAAATGCAGACAAAAATAATACTAGTATGTACTTTTATTCACATCCGGTCCTTCACAGTTGCCACTGAAGGTACCTTAAGGAATGGTCAGGAAACAGGATGAAAAATTCCCAGCAGTTCACTACCCTTTATTCCCCATCTTTTCAGTATATTGAATCACAAACTCCGGAAGCAATGAAAATACACATGGGAGTATTTAATGAGAGTTCATTTGGAATGCAAGCTGTTAGAAAGACCCTGATGTTAATGCAAGGCTTGCTGTGCTGGGATGTTCAGACATCCTGGAAGTTAATTTTCAAAACTATCACTTCAAGGAAGAAAATTCAGAAGAAGCAGGTGTGGAGACAAGGGAGCTTTTATAGAAAATGGGCAAGATATGATGAAGGAATACAGCTACTTTTACAGTTACAGTAATTGTGTTTGCTGGAAGGGGATTTGTACTAAATATAGTGCATTGCATCAGTATGTGTATATACATGTGTACATAGTTGTGGTCACATATTAGTACATGATACAAGGACATGCACGCAGGGTGGTTTTGCGAAGGTATCAGAAGAGTGTGAAATCTGCATATAGATCCCCCAAAACTTTCTCTATACTCAGTGTAGATAAATTAAATCACAGAAGAACATTTCTTGATTAAAAGTTGTCTTATCATGCGTATTTTCTACACACTCCTGGAAGATCACAATACAGAACGCCTTTTTTTTGGTCATTATATGGGAAGGTAAGTATAATTACCTGGCACAAGCGGACATTCTTATATGGATATGCTTGTTCATGTAACTCAGCCTTGGATTCTCGTTTCTCTCCATGGACTATTAATAAAGGTCTGTCCCTTAGAACAGAAGAAACATCTTTAGATAGACTTCTTTGACTTAAAAATTGAACAACTTTACACATTTATAGGGGTAACATTCAACAGTGCACTGGCAGAACAGATTTCCAGGAACCTATCTCATCCCTCTTGCCCATCAGGCCTCAGAGCCTCACAAATGGGAAAGGGGGACAGAAAAGGAAGAATCTTCCCAAATCAGAAAAAGATATTCCATGCAAGATGGAGTTACATCAAAGGTGCTTTCACCACGGAAGATAGTTTCCTGGAAACATCCTTTTGCCCAAGCAATACTGTCACCTTGAGTGTTCCATGAAAACAATCCTCCAGTTTTTTGCAATACTTAAATGCAGTATACAAATAAAAGCTGACTGGATAGCTCAATGGATTAGGTATCTGGCTGTGGAGCGAGAGGGTGGGAGTTCAGTTCCCCACAGCGCATCCCAGAACAGTCAGCCTGTATGACTTTGTGCAAGCTGCACTGTCCCAGAGAGAGTCCCCAGAAGAAGGGAATGATAAATGGAACAGTCAGTCTGTATGACTTGGTGCAAGATGCACTGTCCCAGAGAGTCCCCAGAAGAAGGGAATGATAAAACACTTCTGAGTATACATAGAAATCCCTGAAAAAGGTCAACCTAAGTCAGAATTAACTTGATAGCATACAATTATTATTATATGCAGATAAAAAAATCCCATGATATATTTATCATGTTTTTTTAATGAGAAAGGAAATATGAAAGTTACCAATTGTGATTTCCATCCACCTTTCTCCAAATGCAGCAATCTATCATTTTAATAATATCTTGCAAACTGCTTAAATATTTTTTTAAAAAAGGAAAGATTTATGTTTAAAGACCTGGAGATAGGCAATAAATCTATATAGCGTGAGGAGAAACCATATACAGGCAGATTGTAACAGACTGAAGTATCAGTTTTAAAGTTCATTTTAAGCAACAGAACCTGGCCTTAACATCTGACTATGATTGTTCCACGGGCTTTTGATTTTTTTCCTTTTTCTTCTATCTTACCAGCTATGTAAATATCCAATCTGGGCAACAGTCCTGGGTAACTCTTTCTTTTTTTTTTTGACATTATAGTGGTCCAAAAGAATCAAATGTCATTTCATACGACTATCACATCAGGCAGATCCTAGTATAAAGAAAGTTCTTTAATATAGCTACTGTGCCAAATATTATGAACTGAAAGCTAATATGTTGACAACAGCTCAATCCAGTCAACTAAACTCATTACCACAAGGGTGAGTATTAATCTATTAAATTGCTGGGGGGAACTATGAGAACAAAGAGTGCTAGATATTTTAAATACAATATTTGGCCAAAGTTCTGTTTCATAATTATGCAAAAGATGCACAACTCAATATACAACATATAATGCTTATGAAGATTAGTTAACTCAATAACAATTCATCATTACAAGTTACATCTTTTGCAAAATTACACAGCAGGATTTCAGCCACTGTCTGCAGTCTTTTTCAAATATAACAGTACCTGTTGGTAAAAGACCACAATAATAAATTTGCAAGCATGAATTTAAAAGATGAAGTAGATGCCTAAGGTAAAGGTAAAGGTTCCCCTTGACAATTTTTTGTCCAGTCGTGTCCGACTCTAGGGGGCGGCGCTCATCCCGCTCTTCAAGCCATAGAGCCAGCGTTTGTCCGAAGACAATCTTTCCGTGGTCACATGGCCAGTGTGATTTAGACACGGAACGCTGTTTACCTTCCCACCGAGATGGTACCTATTTATCTGCTCGCATTTGCATGCTTTCGAACCGCTAGGTTGGCGGGAGCTGGGACAAGCAACGGGCACTCACTCCGTCGCGTGGATTCGATCTTACGACTGCTTGGACTTCTGACCCTGCAGCACAGGCTTCTGCGGTTTAGCCCACAGCGCCACCACGTCCCTTAGGAAGTAGATGCCTAGACTACTCAAATGGAGCGTAGAAACACCGAGGCGCTGTAAGAATAAAGCATTTTCAGAAAAACATACCTGAATTCCTTTGGATACTGTTTGACAAGCCACTCCACATCTATACAATAGTTAAACTTGGTCGTAGAAAGAAAAACAAATCATGGTTAGAAACATCACAGAGGTAGGGAGAGGAAATGCTGTTTCAACAAAGCAAAGTTTACTGTGTGCGTAGAAACACCGAGGCGCTGTAAGAATAAAGCATTTTCAGAAAAACATACCTGAATTCCTTTGGATACTGTTTGACAAGCCACTCCACATCTATACAATAGTTAAACTTGGTCGTAGAAAGAAAAACAAATCATGGTTAGAAACATCACAGAGGTAGGGAGAGGAAATGCTGTTTCAACAAAGCAAAGTTTACTGTGTGACATTCTGTGGTCAATATTATTTCTATAGTCTCTGTTTCTCCAATTACAATTTTTAGATTATATTAGGCATCCTTGAGTCTCAAGAGACTATGGTAAAGTGCTCTGTATGGAGGACTTGGAACAGCGTCTAGTGTGGCTGAGAAGGCCAATTCGAGAGTGACAATCTCTTCCATGCTGAAAATTGCAATTCTGTTCTACCATTTTAGAGAGATACTTTCCCCCTTATTACAGCAACCATGTACATAATGAAACAATACACATTTGAACGTCAGTCTTTTGTAAGACAAACATCTTTAAATAAGATGCTTGATATATGTTAATTAAGCCACAATAAAACTTACTGGGTTTTAATTGTTTTATAAGAGCTTGGTTTCCTGTGTTTCCATGGAGGCTGAAGAAGTCCTGTTCTCTACAGATAACATGAAAGCACAGGATTCTAGCCTCTTTTTAAGTCAGTAAGTTGCCTTCTACCAAGTGGGTTGTTGAAGAGCAGATGGAACTGAAGGAACAGTTTTCTTTTTTCCATGCCCAGGCTATCCCAGGAATCAATAGACCCATGGTTTCCCAACCTTGGGTCCTTAGGTGTTCTTGAACTAAAACTCCCAGAAGTCTTCACCACTAGCTGTGCTGGCCAGAATTTCTAGGAGTTGTTGTCAAAGAACACCTGAGATCTCGAGGTTGGGAAGCACTACAATAGACTACCTATCCTTCCTCTCCAAACCTGGTCACTTGCCTTCATAGAATTCCTTGTTGCTTATGGCTACTAGGATAAATAGCAGTTGTTAAATACAAGGCTAAATTAATTGGATTGGAGTTAACTGGATTTCTGTACAACATGAGAAAACAGTTTCAAACAGCTTTGTAATAATAAAGGATAACAGCTGTATGAGAAATACTATACAGTGGTGCCTCACAAGACGAGTGCCCCGTTTAACGAAGAAACCGCATTACGACGAACGATCGCTTTACGATGGTTTCAATGGGGGAATTTCGCTTTGCGATGATTGCTTCCCTGCTTCGGGAACCGATTCTCACAAAACAACGATTTTCCTACAGCTGATTGCCGGTTTCAAAATGACCACCGGGTAAAAAAAATGGCTCCCCGCTCTTTTCAGGGATGGATTCCTCGCTGCACGGGCAGCAAAAATGGCCGCGCTATGGAGGATCTTCGCTGGACGATGAGTTTCAAGCCCATAGGAACGCATTAATCGGGTTTTAATGTGTTCTATGGGCTTTTTTATTTCGCATTACGACGTTTTTGTTCTACAGCAATTTCGCTGGAACGAATTACCGTCGTAATGCGAGGCACCACTGTATTCTAGTTCAAACAAGTGACATGATCATTTGAACATACCTGAGCAGAAGATACAAGAGTCCCAAAGAGAGGAGACAAAATATCTGTTGTAAAAGTAACAATTATAGTAAGCAAGCATTTTTACTGAAAGAGCGCATGTGATAATTGTTTTAGCAACATTACTCATAAACTAAAATTTGGGTTTTAATACTGAAAGAAAAGCATACTTGACCTTAACAACTGTCAGGCAACCAATGGCAGGCCTCAGAATGTGTGTTTAGTCGTTTAGTCGTGTCCGACTCTTCGTGACCCCATGGACCAGAGCACTCCTACTCCAGGTGGATTGCGTTTAGTCGGAACTCTCCACTATGTCCTGTCCGTCTTGGGTATCCCTGCACGGCATAGCCCATAGCTTCTCTGAGTTACTCAAGCCCCTTCGCCACGACAAGGCAGGCAGGCAACCAATGGCAGGCTCAGAATAGTAGGGGGAAAATGTTTAAATCTCAAAAATTGCAACATCAGCCTTATGCCACAGAACGTACATGAACAGGATTTCACCCAATGTTACAAATGGGTTCCCCCCCATAATCATACAAATGGCCCCTGTGATCTTTTCAAAGTCCTAACGTTATTCTGTTTTTACAAATGACTCTACTGACAGTGTAAGTTAAGTCTTCCTCTTCCCATCTGTCAGCTAACATACAGCTGACACACAGGAATTTTCAAAAAATGCCCTTGGATTTTTTTTAATTTCCAAAAAATGGCCTTGGCTTTACTACATAAAACTTATACAAAGAGTATTTCAGTAACTATTTGTGGCCGAAATCCTGTTGCTGACCATAGCAAATTATAACTAGAGTACTTCCATTCAATCAGTGGGGATTTGTTGAGCCAACTCTTCCATAAGCTCTACTGATTCAATGAGATTACTCTAGTTGCAACCTACTAAGCTAAGCAACAGGATTTCAGCCTCAATGTCATCTTTTGGCCCAAAAAGGGATCCAACAGTGGCTTACAATCTAAAACATCACTACACTGTAGAATTTAAAGGTAAATAAATGCCTTCTTTTTGTAACAGAAAATGGAGCTAATACATTTTAAATCAACAAAACCATTGAGAAAGTTTAAAAACCAGGTAACATTAAACTAAATCAATCTAGCTTCTTCAGAGAGAATTTATGATGGTATGCTGACATAGCCAAGACTATCTTGTTCGGATTTAAAACATGTGGTAGGCTGATTAAGATAAGTACATTTAGTGCCTTGGTGACTGCAACATCATAAGACAATTCATGAATTACTATCACAAACAGACAGGTCTTTTATATCACTTTGCATTCAACTCAATGCTTTCGAAGTGATTGATTTACACAGGGCCAATGTGGTCAGTAGCTATAGTACTGCAACAGGGGTTAGAGATGCAGATGCTAATGCCATGGCAAATACTAACAAATCTTGGGCATGTTGTTGTCTCTCACCCACCTAAACTCACAGGGTTGTGGCTGTGGGGTTATAATGAGAAGGAGGGAAGCAACATACACCACTTTGAGCACATTGGAAAAAAAGACAAAATATAAATCTAACAGGTAAAGGTAAAGGTTCCCCTTGACAATTTTTGTCCAGTCGTGTTCGACTCTAGGGGGCGGTGCTCATCCCCGTTTCCAAGCCATAGAGCCAGCGTTTTGTCTGAAGACGATCTTCCGTGGTCACATGGCTAGTGCGACTTAGACACGGAACGCTGTTACCTTCCCACCGAGGTAGTCCCTATTGATCTACTTGCATTTGCATGCTTTCGAACTGCTAGGTTGGCAGGAGCTGGGACAAGCGATGGGAGCTCACTCCGTCGCGTGAATTCGATTTTATGACTGCTGGTCTTCGGACCCTCCAACACAGGCTTCTGTGGTTTAACCCACAGTGCCATCACGTCCCACGTCTAACAGGTAACTAAGTATAAATTCAACTTCATGTTCTCATGTACAAATTAAGTACACGTGACCTAGGCCACCTTACTAGTAATCGTGATGTGTACAAACTTTCACATCTCACCACATATTAGCTGCAAAAAACTACACAAGTTCTTTGTAAAACAGAATACTTAAAATATCAATTCACTCATTGAGGGAGCATTTCTGTCTCAGCATTTCTCACCTTTTATGTGCAGTGCTCCAGAATTATATTTTGGCTTAATTCCTTTGACTTTAGTGAGGAAGAATCGGAAAGGATTCCCATCATTCAGCAGATCCCAAGTGTCCTGTGCTTTGTCACATGGTTCTGCAGATGCCTGGCTCAGAACAGTCCTTGTTTTCTCTGAAGTGCAACGCTCCTCCTCCTCTTTGCCTTTGGCTACCAGCTCTTCTTTATCCCTTTGGTTTTTGAAATCATCCTCATCATCACTACTAGAAAGGCACCAACCTAAGCCATCTTGAGAAGGCTTCTTTTTCTGAGCAGGAGACATCTCCTGTGCAAAACTCCCATCCTTATGTTTCAAAGGGGATGATTTTCTCTTGAGTGCAGCTTTCCTAGCCTCTGAACAAGGGTAACTGGGCCCATCCTCTTTGCTTTGGCCACCTTGCCGTGGCAAAGTAAGGGGCTTCTCTCCCTCGGGTTTCTCATCTCCACTTTCATCACTACTAGATACTGTCCATTTCCCATGCTCACTCTCCTGAGACATGACACGTTGTTTCAAAAACACTGATGGAGCAGGCAGAACAGAATATCCGGCTAGACAAGCTTTGAGGGTTGGAGGTGTGTGTGTATGGGGGTCCTACGTCTCCCACCTTCTCATGAAAACTCCAGTTCATTAAATCCACGATCGTGTCGGTCCTTTTCCTTGCCGCACGTTTTTCACAAGCCACCCCAAAGCCAACGCGCTATATTATTGCGAATCTTAACTTTCTCGTCTCTTCTTCAAAACGGGGAACCTACAGCGTTGTCGCACATGCTCGTCGCTTCCCAGCGCTGTATTTCAGAGGGGAGACACGATTCTCCACCCACGGAAGACCTATTGAGAGAAAAGGTCTCTGGGGCTAGGAGATCACAGGGCAGTTAATCTAAAAGCAGCCTGGCGGTAATTAGGGTAACAAGGGGCTCAAGTAGTTGCTTGAAAGACGACCCGCCCAAGCTTGATTTCTTTTCATACGGGTAGTTCGTATTTACCTACTCCTCCGTAATAACCTAAGGGTTTTTCTTCCTTCTTCGGAACAAATAATATATCAAAAGCGCGCCAAGCGCCTGAAAAGTCTGTTTTGTAGATATGTATAACGTACGGAACCAGTAGGGTCCCCGAAGCAGGGCTTTGCCAGACCACTAACACCACCCGAGGTGGTGGCGGTTCCTGGGAAAAAGAAGGAAAAGGCAATACATTTAAAACCTGCTCCCAAGAACGCTTCGGGAGGAAAAAAAAACCCTTTTCTTAATTACTCTTTCCTCTTCTAAACTCACAGGAACGTGAGGCGAAAAACTCAACGACCACGGGAACGGTTTCAAGAGAGCACACTTCCTGTTTCGAGGTCATTCGCTGGCAGTGAATCGAAGATTGACATACAATGCTGTCCAATCAACCCGGCTGCTGAGACACCGCGAGGAATGAAGAGGAGCCAATCGTCCTTTCCCGCCTATTCTTCCCGTGGGTGTTCCCTGCGCTTCTGGCCAATGAGAGTTCGAGTTTTCGTTGTTACGAGGATGTTGAACTACCATGGTTTGGTTGCTAAGGGAGGTTTTCATACGGTTTGGAAGGCGCGATTGCCATGTGTGCAGCTCTTGAGGAGGCCGAAAAGGGTGGTGGGTTGGAGAATGTTGATGAACACCATAGAAGGCGGTGGGTTAAGGTAGGTGTACTAATTGTGGTCCTCCTTCGGATAGTCACCACGACCATGGGTCAGAAAAAATAATTTTGAGCGACTGTAACTCCTAGAATTCTCTGATTATGTTGGCTGCCGATAAGGATTTTTTTTTTGCTACTAAGTTTATTTCATGTTTTTCGTGTGTGTGTGTGTGAGAGAGAGAGAGAGAGAGAGAGAGAGAGAGAGAGACCAACCTGCCTTCTCCTTGAAAAGGACCCAAGGTGGCTTATGCTATTGAAAAAACTAAAGTTTAGAACAATGAGTATACAACAGTGCTATTGAAAAAACAATATTTAAAGTTTAGAACAATGAATATACAACAGTGGTAAAAGTGGTTAAAGAGACGCCGTATATTATTGTTGTTGTTGTTTGTTTGTTTATTACCGTATATTATTAAAAGGCAATACTGTATAAAGTAATTGTTGCTCTCATCCGGGAATCCAAGTCTAGCTGTTTAACTTGAATCATAATCAATGTTCTTGTTTGCCCAGTTGATATGCATCCCCACAGGTGCTACTATGGTTGAACTTGGCCTCAAATAAACTGTTTTCAGTATGGGTGAAAAGAGAATCAATTAATCTAAAATAGGAATTGGTTAAGGCATGGATCTTTGTGGCCAGAGTCAGCTTCTAGAGCAAAGGGCACAACTAGCACCTCAGCCAAAGCTGAATATTTCTGCCCACATCAGCCACTTGGGCAGCAAGGGATAAAACTCACTTTGATTTTGCCAGAATCATGGCTTCATGTGTAACAGAACTGGTTCTTGAGGTGCCAGCTTACTACCAGTTTCATTGTAAATCCTTTTTTCAAATGAACTAATGCAATAATAAGTCCATTCCATCCATATAAATTAGGGCAGTAGCTGAGTTTATGAAGCAGATTTCTAATATATAGTCAAGAAGAAACAAAGTTCAGAGAAAGTTAAAATGGCAAGTTATAATGCACATGTTTAGCACCAGTTGAAAGCAGTGGTGTGTGATGCTAATTGTGGTTGGTGGGAGAAAAACACAAGAACAACTGGTGGGTAGAGACAAGTGCAAAAGTGGGTACTTGTGCATTCATGGCTGTTTTCTGGTGTATCTAAAGGCTCCCACATGATTTAGAACAGACATGGGCAAAGTGCAGCCCTAGGGCCACATACGGCCCACGAGCTGCTCCTGTCCGGCCCATGGACAGTTTTGAAAATGAAAACCATTTATAGCTTTTTGTCTAAAGTTGATCAGTTGCTTATCTTTAACAAACCGCAAAAAAACTCTTTAGTACTTTGTGAAGATTAACAGGGTTAAAATAAAAACAATCATAACATCACTGTTTCCTTTTATTTTTAAGTAAAGTTTGTTCGGCCCCCAAACATAGTTCAGATTTTTCATGTGCCCCCCTTATAGAAATTAATTGCCCACCCCTGATTTAGAAGGACGGTGTTACATTAGGACAATGACCTTTCTCTCCTCCACTTTTTATTACACTTTGCCACCTTTGCTCCCCATATGATGAGTTTTCGATGCCATGTGTGTATCCTGCTGAAGATAAACAAATCTGAACTACAAGTAGAAGTAAAACCAGCTGTAACTTGAAACATGCTGGTTCTAAATAAAGCTAAACATAAAAGGAATTGACTGTGGACAAAGTGGAGGGCTTCTAATGATAAGCTATAGCAGGAAATTTTATTTGTCAGAAATTCAGCCAAGGCCGACTAGCACTTCAATCTTATTTTCTGTATGTTTATTCAGAATTAAGTCATATTGTGTTCTATGGTGCTTGTTCCCAAAGTGTGTTTAGTATTACAGACATCAAATTACCTTCAACTTTATGTTAAAATGCCACTAAAAGGCAATATGGCACCTTTTTCTGGGCAGTTACTGATTTGTTCTACTGTTATTACAAGAATTTTAGTTTTTGTTACTTCATACCAGCTTTCAGATTTCAGTGAATACTTATAGCTAGATAGCAATTTGTGTTGGGGTTTCTAGGATGTGAGAATTACTTCATACTTTCCTGCTGTGAAGGTCATAGCATCTCTGTTGTGTTTATAGATGATTTCAAGGCGTAAGAATAGCAAAAGCTATTAGCTAATGTTTTTTGTTTTTGTTTTTCAAAACTCAAAAGTAGTCCTGGTGTTTTGATGGAACTTGATAATTTGTTCATGCATTTTGTTAAGTTTCCTACATAAAATGTTTTAGAGATAACCAGTAGGCAAGCTGCCATTTTTCATTCCTTTTTAGATTACCTTATAAGCATATTCTTGCATGTTGATGTAGCAAGCATGATGCCAAGAAGCTGAGATCTCTGCCTGCAGATAATGAAAAATCTGATTCACTTTTAGCCCTTCTTACACTATATTTCACATGGATCCAGTATATTAGAGAATTTCTGAATTAGCAATGTATCTCTGAGGTCCTACTGTTGTCTAATTCATGACTGCTTTTGACAGCATATTCATTACTCTTTGTGATTAGTAGCTGTTGAAAAAATATAGCAGTTGTTGAAAAAAAAATATGATGCTGTAAAGGCGCTGTAGGCTTGCTTGCTCTCTCTCTCTCTCTCTTTCCTGAAAAAATATAGCAGTTGTTGAAAAAAATATATGATGCTGTAAAAGCGCTGTAGGCTTGCTCTCTCTCTCTCTTTCCCTGCCCCCAGTACCCATTTCTTGATTTTTTATATTTAGCTATTTACCAGAGCATATTTTTGCCTTTAAAACAATGTATCCAGCATAGCATGAGCTGGTGATAGTAAAAATCATGCCACTAAGGGCTAATAGTCATGTTGGCTAAATATAATTTCTATCAGTGCCAACATACCATGGAATACCAGTTCCTAGGGGACATTTACAGAGGGCTTCTTTTGCTTTCATGTCCTGCCTGTGTGTTCTTGAAGGTAGAAGTTACACTGGCTTTAGAATTTCATTTGCTTCCCTGTTGCTATCAATTTCATTCACTAAAATGAATTTATTTCCCACCTCAAATATTGGATTTAGATTTCCTAGCTGAAAAACTGTGAGTGCTTTGAAGCCAGTTATTGCCAAGAGATCTCCAGTGTAACTATCAAATCAAATGACTTGTCACCAATAAAAGAAAACTGGAAGTTGCAAAAACGGTGATCAACGGTATGAAGTTGAAGCTTGCATATGCATCTGGCTACTGTGAGAACTGGATATTGGTTTGATCCAACATAATTTTACCTGTTTTCTGGCCCACATTTCCACCAGAAGATATGGAGAAGGAGCTGACTGATTGTGTGGGCTCTGCTTGGATGCAAGGTTCTTGACCAGTCATCAGCTGTGTACCTCCATGTAGCTGCCGCAGCTGCTACTAGCTCAGGGCTGTCCTGTCACTTTTTCCTATGTTCTGGAGGACCCTTTCCATTGGTTGTTGCTCAGCAGTGGTAGTCTTGTACTGCTCTTGTCTCACATTTCTCTTGCCACATTAGTCATGTTAAAAGTAAAATGGATGTTAGCTCTCTGTATCACTATTTCCTGGTCACTGTTCTACCCGATCACCTTTTATTCTGCCACTGTAAATGAAAACATGGAATTCTGAGTTGAAGGGTGATGTAAATATCTCATATCTAAATATCTAAGTAAATATTTCAGATCTGAAAACAGTATATTTATTATAATTTGAATGTAAAGTTAGTGTAAACTGAGGTTTCCACTGAGGAAAGGAATACTGGTAAGTAACAGAGATTGTAAAACTTAATTTTGGATACCAGGTTACATCATAGGCAGAAAATTCTTTTGTAAAGTGTGCAGAACCATTCAGGACAGAATGGTGATCAGACCTGATTGATTACCCATTCTGTTTCCCCTAAGTGTTTCAAATTATGGATGTTTAAGTATGCATCATTTTTCAAAGCAGGCACGGAATTTTTTAAAAAAATCACCTTCATCTTTGTTTTCTTCAGGCATTTGAGGCATGTGATGAAGACATGAAAGGATATTTAAACAGAGAAGACTACAAAGTTGCTGTAGTGATGCTTTTTGGGTATAAGCCCTCAAAGGTACCATTGGCTTTCTTTCCTTCCTATTTTGAGGACTGACATATTAATTAAACATACTAAGTGAAATAATCTGATATAGTTTCTAAAATGTTAGGAGCACAAATAAACTCTTCAGTGGAGGGTTTTACCGGACTTCCTATTTGATCCCAAAAACTGTTCCTACTTTGTACTGACAATTCATGTGTTTACACATTGGCATTAGGGTTCCCACTGTCTCATTTTAAAGGTGCCAACATTGCATCCCAACAGAAGACCATGGCTATGCTACAGCTTGTACATGTCATATTTGTACTGAAACATGATAGATATTTATTACTTCTAGCTATATACTTTTAAAGTACTCCTTAATTTCCCCCACTAAAAGACCAACTACTGTGGTGACCAGTAGTTGGTCTTTTAGTGTGAAATTTTGTAGCATGGAGTATTCCTGCTCAGTGTTCCTATCAGTCAACATATCCCACAACAAGAATACATCATTCCATCCCCATCCATTTTTCTGTTCCCCCCCCATCAACATTCATCTAGCATCCCTTCGCCATTGAATATACTTGCCTCTCACTGAGCCATTTCTGGTGTCCAGGGATTTTCGACCACTGGATTTATTTTTATGTTTTCAATAGAGTAATGTGAGCATAGTATATTTCTGCAAAACTTTGAAATTCTAATGGGCTCTTTTGTGCAGGGATGGCACAGGTTTGGCTGCATAAACATCAAGACCAGGAATAAGAGAGAAATGTAGGGAGAGGCTCACATGTTCCAGAAAATATGTAGGAGGGCTTTCCACCCAGAGACTAATGGTTTCCCACTACTACTACTAAAGAATTTTCACGCAATATTATAAGCAGTTACAGATTTCAAAAATAATATAATCAGAGCTACAAACCCTGGCAATATTAGGAACAGCATATATACTATGTTGATATTTAACAGTTACTTAGGTTTTTTGGCTAAAACTTGCATCTGTTATATAATATCAAGCAATGTTTTTATAATTTTGATTTACTTGCCTGGCCAGTTTGGATATACAGTGGTGCCCCGCAAGACAATGTTAATCTTTCCAAGAATAATTTAATATCTTGCCTTTCAGTGTAAAATGGGTAAGTACTCCTTAACAAAGGAATCTGAGGCACACAATTGTCAGGGGCTGCTCTACTGAAAATATCCCAAATGTAGCTTTATTTTTGTCCTTGGAGGAGGAAAGGGATTTGCTGTGGGTTGCCATTTCAAGCTAGTAACCTTAAGATGTCCAACATGTGCTATGTGTTTCACTTCTGCTGTTTTGCTTACAAATGATCTTTTATTTTAATCCTTAGAATTTAATATGAAGCAATATAGTTTGATGGTTTTTTAAATCTGCACTTTCTACATCAAGGCAGTTATTTTCCAGTTGATTATGTAGCTAGTTTGCCCTTTGAATTCAGCTAGCTGAGGCCCTGCAGCTGTTGCTGTTAAACCGTAACTTGTAGTGTCATTTTAAATCAGTTATACAGCAAATGGCCAGTTTGGATATACAGTGATGCCCTGCAAGACAATGTTAATCCGTTCCATTGAAATTGCTGTTTAGCGAAAACATCATCTTGTGAAAAGTGTTTCCCCATTGGAATGCATTGAAATTCGTTTAATGCGTTCCAATGGGGAAAATAGTCATCGTTTTGCAAAAATCGCCCATAGGGAAGCCATTTTGTGAAGCGCTGATCAGCTGTAAAAATCGGCGTTTTGCGAAGCATCGGTCCCGAAAACACCCATTTTGTGAAGATCCCCCATAGGAAAGCCATTTTGCGGAGCCGCCGATCAGCTGTAAAAATCGGCGTTTTGCGAAGCATCGGTCCCGGGGAAAAAAAAAAGTCTTGCGAAGCATGGACTGAAATATCGTCCAGCAAAAATCGCCCATAGGAAAAACAGTTTTGCGAAGCGCAATGGCAATTGCAAAACCTCGTCATCATGCGGATTCGTCATTTTGCGGGGTAATCGTCTTGCAAGGTACCACTGAAGTAACAAACTGATTTGCTATTAAGTTGGTTGTGACCAGGAAAATTGGAGTTACTTCAGAACTGAGCTGTTTGGTTTAACCTGATTTCTGTACTACTCCAGGAACGGTAAACTTAAGTTTTCTTGTACATTCATATTTTTAAATTTTTTTTTAGAATTTAAAGTCTTTATTCAGACACATATACATTTATATGAGATTTTTCTTGTTTTAAGTATAAGTTTTTCAAAAAAATTCCATACCAATAAGTTAACATAGCCTGCCTTGATCTTAAAAGCACAGCACAAAACTTCTTGTGTCTCTTCAGAAGTCCTAGTGAATCAGCTTGGCTTTAGTCCGGAAAAATGGGTATAGGTGCACAGTCTTAACTATGGGTGTTCAGCCCCACTTAATTCAGTGATCAAAATCCTATTGGGATTTTACATTGTTGTAATGCAAGTGGTGTAACTTCAGATGGTGGATGGCCTCAAATTAAAAAAAAGCACCTGTAGACAGTGTCTGTTGCATGCTGAGTTGCACAACTCAGTACTGTACACAAAAGATAATACATCTAGTAGTTTCTTATGTTCAGGCGATTTCCCTCCAAATACAACACTTTTGTGTAATGCAAGTGGTATAACTTCAGAAGGTGGATGGCCTCAAATTTAAAAAAAACACCTGTAGACAGAGTCTGTTGCATGCTGAGTTGCACAAATCAGTACTGTACACAAAAGATAATATATCCAGTGGTTTCTTATGTTTAGGCGATTTCCCTCCAAATACAACACTTTTTGCATTACACTTGCAGGCATTATTAAGGATTGTGGCAATGGGATTTATTTCTCAACATACATATTTAGGACATCACTGCATGTCCTCCCTACCCCATCTATACAATGCAGTCAAAAAAGTTTCAGATAAAATTTTGGATGAATGCATTTATTTTTTAGTATTATTCATTTATTCATGAATATCACCATGGATAAATATTTGAATCCAAATAATGCCTTTTATTACCATGAGGTGTCACTGTTAAATGCTTTTATTGGAGATTTCAGTTTCAGAGGTAAAAGATTATTTGGTAAGATTTTTCCCATCACTTTATTAGAAAATCTACAACTGCTATTCTTTTAAAGAACAATTATCAATGAAATTATCTTTTACAGAGGCTTATAGCTTTTTTGTGAAGAAATATGTTAGATATACTACCACCATTAAAATGGGTAATAAATTAAAATGGGTAAATACCATTAAAATGGGTAATAAATGGCTCAATAAGAAGTAGAGAAGCCAGCAATGTTAAGAATCTCAGACTGAGATTCAGCATGGTCACTGTTATTTCTAGATTTTTGGGGGGCATTTATTCTCTTTTTGAAAGTGCAATTCCACAAACTATTTTTGTACAAAATAACACAGGTTGTACTTTTTTGGTACATAAAGGTGTATCTGTACAGATGCTTCCTCCTATTGGAAAATTTTTAGAGTGACTATTAATATGAAAACAACAAGAGTCATGTGGCATCATAAGACTAACACGTTTTATTTATCATCAGTTTTTGTGGATTGCAGCTGACTTCATTAAATTCACAATCTTTAGCCAATGGATGTTTTTCAATGAATAACTGATATGCTGTTCAATTATCATTTTAATTATCACATTTGCTCTCTTGGACAGCTATCAGCAATTATCATTTTAATTACTGTATCACATTTGCTCTCTTGGACAGCTATCAATGCAATATTGTTTTTACTTTTTCTAGAATGATTATAATTTGACCTTTTCCCATTTATATGACAGGGTCTAATTCAGGAGAAAAAGAACAAATGTTGCACAGAAATACCTGTAGAGTACATCCAAATTCACAATCCACCCTTACAGGCATTGTCTTTCTTTCAGTGCTGTTTGTATTGAGATGCAAATTTTAACTGGCATCCTATTGACTTTGGGACCATGGATGGCAGATGATAAAACTCTGATAATGGCCTAGCAGTGTGCTTCCTCCTAGGCCATTTCGGTTCTCTTCTCTCATGATTCTTTAAATTCCAAGGGGAAAACTTTCTTGTAGCTTAAATTGTTGGCTATAGTAGACTCTTCTCTTGTCAAGTGGCAGTGTGCAACTAACTTGGCAAGAAGAATTAGACATCATTTCTCCAAGGCTTTAGGAACAGGAGAATGTAAGAAGAGCCTGTAATGCTCCCGACCCTCTTAGGGATCAGAGGACACTTGGTCAGAGAGTTCTTTGCACTTATCAACTGCCTTTATGCTGGGCCACGTCCCTACACCCCAGCAGTGCGTAGCATAAGCCCGTTGAAAGAAGTCTGATCTAAAAAGAACACTTTGCACTTACTTAGAACTTTAGCAAGTATAGACACCTGAGCTTTGTGATTCCTTAGGACTCGCAACTGCTCAGTGAGGTAGGACTCTTAAATGATAGCAAATCTGTGGCCCTCTTCACCACTGGAGTTAGCCAGACCTTGCTGTTCAAGAGACCAGTCCTCAGTAAGGATTTTTAAGGATTAATTTTTATTAGAAAAATAGAGTTTCATAGAAAATCAGTTTATATTGCAAAAGCAGTAGCATTCAAGAACATATTCAAGATTATTGCAGTTAAATAAAATAACTATTCCCCATTTAAAATAATAAACTTCTAAAAGCTAATCTAGGGAAGGCTATAGTGGGCTAGCCCCCCTTCTGCTCCTTTCTCCTCCCTCACATCTTTTTTTCCTTCTCAGAACCAAACCACACAAAAACATCATCAGTCTCCATTCATCGTCAGTAAGCCTCTATTCACATAACATATCTTCCATTTTCTAACCTCCTAACTCCTCACTTATTCTTGGCCCCCTTTACTGTTAACCAATTAACTTTTTGGAGGTTGTACCACCTCTCCCCATCTATTATTCCCATGAGAGTGCAGGTGTTGTTTGTCTTCTGTAATAGGCTTGGAATGTTGAGTCTTCCCCGGCCCCTCAACATGACTTTCAGGATAATAGTCACAGGAAAACAGTCGCATGATGCTTAAGAAAAACACATTCAAAAGTCCTTCAAACCATCTCTAGTCAGAACCATCCTGACTCCATTTTATATTCCTCTGACTACATATCCCATCCTCATAACACACTTCTAACTACATATCCCATGATCATGACAGAGCCAATGTTAAACTAAGTAGGCTGTCACTTCACTGGTCCCATCTAGACTCCTTCTTAAAGTTTCACTATTCCATAGTCCTCTAGTGCAGATGCTATTCTTAGTGAAGTGTAGCATTTTTCTATCAGATTATCAGGAACTTCATGTTTAAGTTCCTAGGGCTAGCTGGATAGCTGAGTGATTTAGGTAGCTGGGTGGAGGTCCTAGGATGAGAGGTGAATTCCCCACTGTGCCTCCCAGGAGAACAGCCAGCCTAAGTAGTCTTGGCCAAATTCTATAGAGCAGTGGTCTCCAACCTTGGGCCTCCATATGTTCTTGGACTACAACTCCCAGAAGCCTTTACTACCACCTCTGCTGGCCTGAGAACAGCCAGCCTGAGTAGTCTTGGCCAAATTCTATAGAGCACTCCAGAAGAAGGGAATGGTAAACTGTTTTTAAGTATGTACAAAATCTTAGAAGGGGTCACCAAGTTGGCTCATCATTATTGAAGTTCTCAAAGTGGCTTGGATGGATATCATCTGGACCTGGTAACATTTCTGGAAAAATACAGAAACATTATATACCCTGAAGTCTCATTGATACAATGAAGGACGTTTAAGCAGGTACTGTACCAAACTTTCTCAAAGAGAAAGTTGGCTCAATCATGTCCTTAATTTTTAGAGGAATTAACAAACATTTGCATTAAAATTACTATGTATAAGATTGTCTGAATAGTGTTGCAGAGTTACATTACATATAGGAAGAAGAAAAATAGTGTACAAGTTTAAAGAAATATGTTGGATCATTCCTTTATGTTGTTATTTTTCTCTGTTTCAGGTGGAAGTGGATTCAGTCATGGCTTCTGTGAAGCAAAGTCAATCTGGTATTATGCAGCTGTTGAACATTCATTCATCTTTGTAACAGTGATAAGACCCTGAAAAGTAAAACTCGACGGGATTTGAAGATAGGTTTTCACAACTTTGATTATTAAATATTTGAAACGCATGTTTCACGTTGGCTTCAAAGCTGCATTTTGGTTCATGTTTAGTAGTAAGAGACAAGAGAGTGTGTGAGAGAAAATAGTGATATAGTATTTTTATGGAAATAGAGTAGTGCTCTTATCTGGGAATTGTGCTGCCCCTAGCATGAAATAAGGGTGGTGACATAAAGCCATAAGGGAACTGGAAATTATATTTTGTTGCAGTTGTTTTTGTGTGTGCCTACATGTTCTGTTTCACACACTTGCAGTCAGCTTGTTAAGCATACAGGTGAAAAACTGAAATTAGGACTAGAAGCTTCAGGAGAACATAGAAATTTTCTCAGGAAAAGTAAATGAAAGCCATATGTGTCTGAGATATGAAGATAGCACTTACCTTTTCTCTTCCCAAAAGCTGAATAGTAGGGACATCAACATGCTTATGGGAAGGTTTTGCAAGAAACCTGTTGCACAGAGAACAGAATATTGTGCACTGGTTACAGTGATAAGATGAGCTCAGCATTCTCTTGTAATATGGCAACGTGGTTTCTGTTCAGTAGGAATGGCCAATCCTTTGTTGTGATTTGAATGATCTTTCCAGATATATTGCTAAATTATACACATCTAAGATTGAATTAGATTTGAACTGAATACCAACTCTTACCATACATACTTATAATGGGCAACATATGGTTTTGTGTGAGGACTTCTCCTTCCTGTGGTGCCTCTCTGTTTTACTCATGAGAGTACCAAAGTTTCCAAGCAGATTATGGACTTTGCACATAGAAGGAACAATCTGGTCCTCAAATGTTGTCCATGCCTTTGGTGGACAGACAATTCGATTTCATCCAGCATTTGTGTAATTAGAAATATTATATTGAGAGAAACTGAAGAAATCTCATGTGAAATCTAGAATGAAAGAACGTTTTCTGTGGACTCTTATTCTAGTTTTCTGCTAACTGTGTAATTAATATAAATGCCTCATGCACATAATATTTCTGGTTCTGTTTTACATTTCTGAGGTCAAAATCCAGGCTCATGAATCTAGATATATACCTACCAGGAAGTCCAAGTGGATTTAGTTCTGTGCAGCACGTTTTCACCATGAAAACAGTTTAGTTAGAAAAACAAAGAAAAACTACTGTAGAGCTACTGTAGAGCTTGAAATATGAATGTAGTAGGAGGAATAACAATTTGCTTTTGTTCACCTATATTCCCATTTCCCACTTTTCTAGGTGTATCACTTGAAGAATTTGTAAAACTCATGAGTGCAAAGAAGCCTGCACATTTTTACTGTAGTGAAGTGAGGCAGCTTTTCACAGTTTTTGACAGACAATGTAAGTCTTTCTTCCATGTGGAACAACAACGTTTTCATGGTTTATTGGTAATAAAGTGAAACTGTCAGTTTCACTTTAATCCTGTCATTTTTTTCAGGAGTTCAAAGTAATGTGCAAGATTCTTACCCTATCATAAAGCTGGCTAAGAGTAACTGGTAATTTGGGACTGTTTTTAAACTTTTGTCCAACTCTGCCTTTCTGTTAAACAGCAAATAAGGCTCAGGATTTTCCAAGACTGAAAATTGCAGTAATTCTTCGCTTAATCCATGATAAAAACACTTCAGTTAATCCATGATGAAAGTGTGGGTTATTGTATTTCCCAATATTCCCTGAAAATTAAAGTAATATCACAACAAACAGTTCTGAACTCAGTGGACTTGAGCTTTCATGCACTTTTCTGAAAATAATGAGAGGTAAATGTACTCTTGGATTCCTTAGTTTCAATAACATCAAAAGGTGCCTTTAAATTCTGATTCAGACATACATTGTTCTAAATATCTAAATATTTTTTCAGTGTGCAGTTTTTACATTGTTCCCTATTCTCCCAACAAGGTAAAGGATTTCTATCTTTTGAAGACTTCAAAAAAGCCTTCAGTATTGTTGCACCAAAGTTGCCAGAGAGGATTATCATTGAAGCATTTAGGTATGATGTACCGAATTACTTAAGTGTATTCTTAAAATGTAGACAAGGTTTAATCTGGTCCACAGCAGGCATTTTCCATACATGTCATGAGATCTGAAGTAACAGCTCCCTGTTGTTTCTTCTTGTACATGGGCAAAAGCTGTGCCAGGCCATAACATGAAGTGGGAGGCATAGGCACAAGTACTGTAACTTCAGCTAGCAAGCAGCATCGCTCACTTCCTTAGTAGTGAAGGAAGTAACAATAGAGAAACCAAGTGTATCAAAAGCTAATTATGCCTCAGTGTAGCATCTACATATATGTAAAGGTAAAGGTTCCCCTTGAAATTTAGTCCAATCGTGTCCGACTCTAGGGCGCAGTGCTCATTCCCGTCAAGTTGTAGAGCCAGCGTTTGTTCATAGACAGTTTCTGTGGTCACGTGGCCAGTGCGACTAGACACAGAACACCATTACCTTCCCACTGTGGTGGTACCTATTTATCTACTCACATTTACGTGCTTTCGAAATGCTAGGTTGGCAGGAGGTAGGACAAGCGATGGGAGCTCACTCCGTCACGTGGATTTGATCCTAGGACGGCTGGTCTTCTGACCTTGCTGCCTTCTGACAGGCTTCTGTGGTTTAACTCACAGCACCACCACGTCCCATTCTAACATATATATTAGAGGGTAGGAATTAAGATACATTGCAATGCATACTATTTATATAACTAAATGATATGTATGAAGATTTAACTGTGAAGTACACTGGACAATTGACATAGCCTATATTCAATATACAAAGCACATGTGAAATTGCATTATCAAATGGACTGCAACATTTAGGATAAATAAATTAACAACTATTCAAAAGAAAAATATATAGCAAAATCTGGTGATGTGCACTTTGTATCTATATTATTATGTGCTGCCATGTTCTTTCTGATTTAGGGTGACTATGAATGATCACTCTCCAAAATGTCCTGTTCTCAACAGCCCTGTTGAGCTTTTATAAACTCAAGCCTGTAGCTTCCTTTAGGGACGTTCAGCTTTTATAAACTCAAGCCTATAGCTTCCTTTAGGGAATCAATCCATCTTGTATTATTTGGTCTTCCTCTTTTCCTGCAGCTTTCCACCTCTCCCAGCCTTATTGTCTGTTTCAGAGAATCCTGCCTTCTCGTGATGTGCCCAAAGTAGGACAGTCTCAGCTTCAACATTTTTGCCTCCAGAGATAGTTCAGCTTGATTTGATCTAAGAACCACTTGTTCGTCTTTCTAGTAGTCAAAGGTATCCGCAAAGATTTCCTCCAGCACTACATTTCATACAAATCCATTATTTTCTGTCAAGTTTCCTAACTGTCCAGCTTTTGCACCCATATGTGGTGACTGGAAATACAACAGTATGAATGATCTTGGTCTCCAGTGACACTTCCTTACACTTGATGATGTAGGGAATATTAGCAGTTTTTACCTTTGAACCTTGCGATCCAAGATGTGCTTGGTAGTTATGAAGAAATTAAAAGTGGAAGTAGATAAAACCAGAAGTATTACATTTCATAATGACTTAAGAAACGTAGGCTTATATTCAGTCCATTTATATGGGTGTCCATCATGCGTATAAATTTTATCTCAACTGTTTCCCTTTGTATTCTTGATTTGTAATGTTTCTGTTCTAAAATAGTGACTTTTAAATCTACAGTGTCCTGGTAGATAAATGTTTGGAAACAGGTTTCTGTTTGTTGTGGTGTGTGATGTCAGATTTGTAACTGTTGATCCATTTCTGTAGAGATTCTCTTGTTTGTCCTATGTAAAGTACAGAGGCATTGTGGGAAAAGATGGCATAGATCACATTAGCTGAGGAGCAAGCAAAAGTGTCTTTGATATTGTATGTGGCTGTCACGTTCCCATGTGGCCCCTGCTTGTTTCACCAAACTAAGAGCTCATGCTACGTGTCTTTCAGCTGCCACCAGTTGATTACATCAACATTGTTTATTATTAATCACAGAGTCCAGGCAAGTGTCATTTTAAAAGAACTAAATAGAAATTGTTTATTGTTACAGATGTTGACAGAACAACCAGTGTTATTAACTCTTAAACAAACATCCTCCTTCATCCACTCTCAACCACCACTCTCCCGCCCAAACTCTCAAAACTCTTCAACTCTCTAAACTCTCAATCTCCCTCCTCCTCCTGCAGAGACTCTTATATCTCATGACTCCGCCTCTCCAGCACTCATTGATACATGCAAATATTTGTTGTTTAGTCGTTAAGTCCTGTCCGACTCTTCGTGACCCCATGGACCAGATCACGCCAGGCCCTCTTTTCTTCCATTGCCTCCCAGAGTTTGGTCAAATTCATGTTGAGAGCTTCGGTGACACTGCCCAACCATCTCGTCCTCTGTCATCCCCTTCTCCTCTTACCTTCACACTTTCCTAACATCAAGGTCTTTTCCAAGGAGTCTTCTCTCCTCATGAGATGGTCAAAGTACTGGATCCTCAGCTTCAGGATCTGTCCTTTCAGTGAGCACTCAGGGTTGATTTCCTTCAGAATGGATAGGTTTGATCTCCTTGCAGTCCAGGGGACTCTCAAGAGTCTCCTCCAGCACCACAATTCAAAAGCATCAGTTCTTCAGCAGTCATCCTTCTCTATGGCCCAGCTCTCACTTCCATACATCACTACTGGAAAAACCATAGCTTTAACTATGCGGACCTTTGTCGGTAAGGTGATGGCTCTGCTTTTTAAGATGTTGTCTAGGTTTGTCATTGCTTTCCTCGTAAGAAGCACCCGTCTTTTAATTTTGTGGCTGCTGTCACCATCTGCAGTGGTCATGGAGCCCAAGAAAGTAAAATCTGTCGCTGCCTCCATATCTTCCTTTTCTTTTCTTTTTTTAGTTTTTTATTAGTTTTTCACTCAATCTACATTTGGTTTGTGCTTATCAAACATCGTGTTACATGATTTGCTTACAATTATTAGATTTTTACACCTCAGTGTCTTCCCAGTTGTCCCCCCAAATTCCAGACATATTTCAAACATTCAAACCATTCATGTACATATTTTAGTATATAATATGGCTACTATCATAATATTACTTTCATAGTGTACATTATTCTCAAGATCTTCTAATAACATTCTTAATAAAACTAGTTCCGGCTCCATGCCCCAACCTTATATCTAGTTTAATTAACCTAAAATAAAAAGACACCATATTACATATTTACCCTGGTTAGAGGTCCTTATTTCAATTTAATTTTCCTTTTTAATATAAAGCATATGCTTCTTTACAATTCCCGAAGTTAAATATATACATGTTTTTCAACATTAAGGGCCCCCTTCCTATTTTCCCCTTTTTCATCTTTCTAAGTAATTCCCTCTCTTATTTCTCTTTTTTCACTTTTTGTTTCTGTCTCTCTAAGTATTCTGCCATCTTTCATGGCCTCTGAAACCATTTTGTGCATCTGATTTATCTCCACTAGGTCTTTATGCATTTGGTCTATCTTCAATAGATGTTCTAGGCTTTTTAAAATTAATTTTGCTGATTTTCTCCCCTTGTCTTCCCTTAATACTCTCTTCGGATCCAAGATTGACGTTGTTTCTCTTAGGTTTTCCCCATTAATTTCCTCCAGCTCCTCTTTTGATTGGCATACATCATCCGGTACACTCTCATTTCTTTCTTCATTATTCCCTGTCTCTTGTTGACTATTATTCTTCAGATGTTCATTGAATAATTTTCCTCTTGGTAGTGGGATCTCACTATTTCTAGTATTGTTTGAAGGGTAGATTTTGTTTCATCTCAAAATTGTTCTTGCTGTGCCATTCTGTTCCAGCTGCTCAAGAGCTTAAGCCAAGATTCGAAGCCCTCAAGTCTCACAGTCCAGTTCGATGATTGTGTCTGTGTCCTAGTTGATCCCTGGTAAATTGATGCCAGCTAAACAGATATTCCAAGTCTCCAGAGTCAATTCAAAGAGTCCGCTTTGGCTAAATAGGCCTGAACCAAAATTTAAACCCCCAAAGTACCAAGGTACAATGCAATGGTTGTATCCGCGGCCTGATGGCGTAATTCCCACAGGTTTATGCTAGCTAGTCAAACACAAACACTTCCAACTCCTGGGGCAGTTTTCAGAGGATCTACTTTGGCCAAACAGGCCTAAACTGTGGTTCAAAACCCCCAAATATCACAATCCAATTCAGTGTTTGTATCCATGTCCTGGTAGCCTAGTTCCTGCATTTCTGGATCAGCCAAAACTGAAATTCCAGGTCCCTGGATGTGGTTCCAAAAAGTTCACTTTGGCCCAATATACTAATTCCCACAGTACAGTTTAAAAAGATCCACTTTATGGTTAATTTGTCCAGCCAGGCATGAAAAAATCAAAAAGAAATAAAAACAAGTTTCCAGACTTTAAACAGCAGTAGAGTACTCAAGGTCACTGTTCTGGGCATTATGCCAAAAAACTTCAAATAGTCAAAACATGAGATAAGTCCAGACTTAACTAGTAATAACTTACGAGAAAATTTCTTAAGATTTATAACGCCAAATTATAATATTCTTAAAGTATATTTTAAATGTATTTAAATTAGTAGTTAATGTCCCATAAATCTTTAAATTATTTTCTTTGCATCACCTATCCCTCTCTCCAGATTTTCTGCCGCTCTATGATTGATGAGATTGATAGAAGTTTCTTTTTTTCTGTATATAGGAATTGTCTTCTGCAAGGGTAGTCATAAGCATTCGTAAGTTGTAAAAATATATCTCACCCGATAGTAAC